TTTTGAAATTAATTTCTCCAGGTCACCAGATCATACAGTAACTCTATTTAGTCTCTTTTAAGGAAACTCCATACTGTTCTCCATAGTGGCTGCACGAATTTACATTCCTACCAACAGTGTAAGGGGGTTCCTTTTTCTCCACACCCCCTCCAGCATTTATTATTTGTAGACTTTTAAAAATTAATTATGGCTCTGCAGGCTCTTCATTGCGGTGCACTGGCTTCTCTAGTTGTGGCACGCAGGCTTTAGACGGCATGGGCTCTAGAGCGTGTGGGCTCAGTAGTTGCAGCACAAGGGCTTAGTTGTGGTATGTGGGATTTTAGTGACCAGGGATGGAATCTGGGCCCCCTGCATTGGGCACATGGAGTCTTAACCCTGGACCACCAGGGAAATCCCTGTAGACTTCTTAATGATAGCCAATCTGACTGGTGTGAGGTGATACCTCATTATAGTTTTGATTTGCATTTCTCTAATAATTAGTGATATTGAACATCTTTTTATGTACCTGTCGGCCACCTGTATGTCTTCTTTGGAGAAATGTCTATTTAAATCTTCTGCCCATTTTTTGATTGGGTTTTTTTGGATACTGGGCTGTATGTATATTTTGGAAATTAAGCCCTTGCCAGTCTCATCATTTGCAAATATTTTTTCCCATTCTGTAGGTTGTCTTTTCGTTAAAGCTTTATTTTTTAAATATTTCCCTTATTTTTTTGGCTGCATTGGGTCTTAGTTGTGGCACGTGGGATCATTGTTGAGGAATATGGGATCTTTTTCGTTATGGCCCATGGTCTGCTTGGGTTTCTCTCTAGTTGTGGCACGTGGGCTCCAGAGTGCGTGGGCTCTGTAGTATGTGGCACGCGGGTTCTCTCATTGAGGCGCGCAAGCTCAATAGTTGCAGCACGTGGGATCTTAGTTACCCAACCAGGGATGGAACCTGCATCCCTTGCATTGGAAGGCAGATTCTTTACCACTGGACCACCAGGGGAGTCCCAGTAAAACTTTATTTTTGACAAACTTCCTCAAATCAAATTCTAAATTGAAGTTCTTTTGACCTCTAATTTGGGACCTTTCAAAGGCCCCTGAGGCATCTCAGAGAGAAAAATATTACACTAATTCAGATTATTTCGTATGTTAAATTACACGAGAAGCACTATCAAATGAGTGGTGATAAAACCTTCTTAGGTGGGCTTCCCTGGTGGCGCAGTGGTTGAGAGTCTGCCTGCCGATGCGGGGGACTTGGGTTTGTGCCCGGGTCCGGGAAGATCCCACATGCCGCCGAGCGGCTGGGCCCATGAGCCATGGCCGCTGAGCCTGTGCTCCGCAGCGGGAGAGGCCACAACAGTGAGAGGCCTGCATAACGCAAAAAAACTAAACAAAACAAAAAACCTTCTTAGGTAATTTCTTAGGTAATACTGTATGGGTAAACATCCATCAAGTGTTCTAAAAATTATATGAAGTTCCTAAAATTTGGAGATGTCCTGGTATTGTTATCAGTCTTAATTCTAGTTATCTTTAAAATATTATATGTCACAGCAACTTGGTTAAGCTTCTTTGTCAATTGCATTGTAATCAGATCCTTAACTGTGCCTTTTCAAGTCTTGTCATTCACAGATATTTCACTCATGCTTTTGCAAAATCTTAAGATTCATAGAAAGGATTTTGGCAAGTATAAGATTGATAACTTCCAGATCATACTGCTGAACTCGTTAAGAAATTCTGATGGAAACCCTGATTGTTTCATAAAACTGTTAACAAGATTTAGATCAAGATTAGTTACGTAGTACTGAGTGAACTAATGAATATGGTTATGTTTTTGTCTGAAACACTGCTGGCGTTTAGTCTGTGTTTTCTAGACATAAGGAAACCTTTCCCTTTCCCTTTATAACAACTTGGTAAGTTTTACCTTTGTAAGTGGAATTGCTTTGTAAGTGGAATTGAATCATTTATCTTTTCTCTTGACCTGATCCCTCCAGGAGTTGGAAACTCAGAGTCCCAACAGCTTTATCAGCTGAATAAGGAAGGTCACCTCCTGGCAGGAGCAGGAATATTGAGATATTTTAGGAACCTTGAGAAGGGAGGAATTCTCTCACATCTACAGATACTGCAGGCAAAATCTGAGGGCAAGTTATGATTTTCCTGGCCTCAAGGTTTTTAAAAAGTTCAATTGATATTCCTTAAGAAAAGTTCTAGCACAGCCAATTGAAAAGAGCCTATACGACCAGTTACACTTAGGTAAATCAGGCTGTTTACTGAAACTAGACTTAATTTGGCCCAATTTGGTAGAAATGAGGATAAATTAGAGATTATGTTTTGATAATATACCTTTTGGATATTGAGGTTTTGTATATACTGAGGGTTTTTGTATTATCTACATCCAAGATGACCTTGTTGCTAAAGTATTTTAATTAAGTTACTAAAGGAATAATTCTAAGCTTGTTTCTGAAACTGATCATGGAAATCTATTTTTGGATGAAGATCAGATGCCCCATGATCCACAACCAGGAGATTATACATACTGGAAAAGACATCACTTTTAAGACTCTCTCCAACCTAAATGAAAGACCCCTTCTCAGGTATTAAGTAGCTCATGCACAGTGAAACTGAAGGAAACTGACTCTTGAATTAATATTTCCCACTCAAGGGCTTCTGTACTGGAAGACAGCTGACCCAAGAATCTGGACCAGGTCTGTTAAGATCCATCGTAATTCAATGGAGCTGTTCACCAAATGTGTCTCCCTATCAAAATGGAAAGTTTTTGTTTTATTTCTAATATACTTCTGACTCCAATGTTCAGGATAGAAAGGAAATTCTCCAGTGAAGCTGAATAACTACTCACGATGTGTATCACTGCTTGCTACTGAAAGATCTGCAAACAAAAAAGAGAAAATGATGGAGGAAACTTTCACGTATTGAGGTATGGAGAAGTCATTCTGGCTTATAAGGTAAGGCTGTTCTAGTTTATCAAACATACATTGTGCATCTGCTTTAAGCATTGAAGGATGCATTTAAAAATCAAAAGTAAGTAACTGGTTCAGGCATCCCAAATGGATCTGGGTGCCTATCACGGACATGGTTTCAGACACATTCCTACATTACTGAGAACCTGAACGTTCTGAACTGTATCAGACTCAAGGATGCTACCAGCTGCTATGAAACCGTTCTCTTTAGGAATGGTAACAAGCAAGACAGCTCAAGCGATAGCCTCCCAGCAGAAGGCACTAGATTCTTTAGGCAGAATAGTACCAGATACGAAAATTGCTTTAAATTATATTTTGACAACAAAAAAGACGTGTAGTGGCCAATAACTCCTGTTATGTATATGTTAATACCCTTACAGAGTTAATTGGAAATCCTACTTACAGAATTTACATAAAAAGGACCTGCTCTGAAACCTATTTTCCTGGCTGCCATCTGTAATGGGAAGACTTCTGGGGCATATACTACACGGGTGCATTTTGATCATTATCCTCATTATAATATGTCTACTAATTTTCAAATGTTTGTCCAGGTGCTGTGACAAAGCAGTCAGAGAGAGAGGTAATGTTTTATAATACAAAACAACTTGAGAATTCTTTAAAAATGAAAAGTCAGGGACTCGGGACTTCCCTCGTGGTCCAGTGGCTAAGACTCCGTGCTCCCAAGGCAGGGAACTAGATCACACATGCTGTGACTAAGACCCGGTGCAGACAAATAAACATATTAAAAAAGTCAGTGACTCTCTCCTCTAATCCTGAAAAAGGTTGTTGCCTCTCTTCCCCTCAGGCTGGAGGTGTATCAAAGAAAAAGGCTGACTAAAACCAAGCAGGACCCTGTGGGCCTTCCTAGAGAAAGACCCCCACACACACAATGTCCCCTGTTTTAGCCTCCCAGGCCTTCCCTGGGTTCCAAAGAGCAAATTTAATTAGAAGAAAATGCAGAAACAAAGGAAAGCAGTCAACTAAGGCAAAATAATAATTTAGCCATAAAACAAAGTCAAGGACCTTTAGTGCTATAACTAGTATCCTGAGCCATGCCCTTGAGTTGTTTTGCAGATATCAAGACCCCCACCAGGTGAAAGAAGTTAACTGCATGCTGACTACCAGCATGTAGACCCCAGACTGGTTGGAACCAAAAGGCTGAGATTCCCAAAACGTCACCCAATTATTCACCATTAACCAATCAGAATTGTATGAGCTGACTGCCCATCCTGTGACCTCTCCCTCAGTCTTCAAAAGCCCTTCTCTGAAAGCCGCTGGGGAGTTTGGGTCTTTTGAGCACGAGCTGCCTGTTCTCCTTGCTTGGCACCCTGCGATAAACTGGGTTGTGATAACAGAAAGTACAATGTTAGTTGCTGAGTGTTGGGTGACCTGATCCAAGTTTCTGGTTGGTAACAGAAATACTAAGAGTCATTCTGGTTGGTAACAGAAATACTAAGGTCCTGATACCCCCCTAAATATCATCAGAAACCACTGGAGGGCATTTTCTCCCTGAACATCTTCTTCTGACAGTAAAGGTAAAAACAGCTATCCAGTCTGGCACCCTCCCATTTGTCTAGTCATTTGCCCACCTGTCCAGCACATATGTGCTTTGGTATCTCATTGAGCTCTTGGCCAGGGGCACTGGGCAGATGCAGGGAGTGCCTCCAGTGTGAGAGACTCACTGAAGTGTGTGTCATAACTCTTACTTTGAATCTGGGGAGAGATAAAGAAACCAACAGTTCAATTCAAAGATAGATAGATAGGAGGGCTTCCCTGGTGGCGCAGTGGTTGGGAGTCCGCCTACTGATGCAGGGGACATGGGTTCCTGCCCCAGTCCGGGAGGATCCCACATGCCGCAGAGCGGCTGGGCCCATGAGCCATGGCTGCTGGGCCTGCGCGTCTGGAGCCTGTGCTCCGCAACGGGAGAGGCCACAACAGTGAGAGGCCTGCATACCGCAAAAAAAAAAAAAAAGATAGATTGGAGGACACAAAACTAACCAGCCAGTCCCTGATGAAAGAGAAACACGGCTTTCAAGATGTACAGTTAGGGTGTGTGCTAATTTATTATGGCTGACTTGCCACTTCAGCTTCCTGGGAAAGAAAAATTCCTGTGACTTGAACTGCGGAAAGACAGAAGTTATCACAGATGTCACATGGCTCAGGGTGGAGCCAGAGAAATTGAGAAAAGTAAGATGTTTCTTAGTTTCCCTTCACTCAAAACCACTATTTCCCTACTTCTATCAAACTCCATAAAAGGCACAAAATAGAGCTAGAAGCTTGGAAATATCCAAAAAGTGAGCTAAGGCTCTAAAATTAGAGACCATCCCTGTTCCTCCTGTTGGCCTGAAAAGACACCCTCAGTCACCTCCCATTTTCTGTTTAGATCCCCTCTTAACTCCAGATGAAAATGCAGCTTTTGGCCAATGCATCTGCTTCCCCTGCAGTGCAGCTAGGATCCCCCAGGCCATCTCTGCTCCAGCCCAGGCTGGATTCTCTACCTGCTTAGATTCTCTACCTGCTTATTTTCTACTCACCAGTTGTTTTTCCAAAGCTCCTCTCACACGTTAAGGTCCTCTCTTCTGGCTCAGCCTCAGTTAAGTCCCACATCTCCCTCTGCGCATGTGTTCTGGGGTGCAGTCTGCACTCTCCGTTGAAGGAAATGGAGGTCACGTGCCCTGCAGTGAGTTGGCTCCACGGCCATTTCCTTCAACGAGTCTGGGAACAGGCCCCATCCCTCTCATGTCGTTTCACAGCCTTCTCTACAATTTCTGTAATTAACATTCACAGGTCAGAACAAAACCTGGAGTTTTTCTGTTCTTTACTAAATAAACATTCGCTTCACAGAAACCAGCCCCAAACTCATCAGTGTCCAATTATGTGAGAGCAGGCACCAGGGGGACCAGGTCATACATTTCCCCCTTGCAGCGAGAACATTAACGAACCCTGCCTGGCAGTGCCCTCGAGTGTCCAGGAGACAGTCCTCTCTCCCACAGGCCCAGTCCTGCCAACACAGGGGCTGTGAGCCCTTAGGGTGGACTTCTACTTGCTTCTATCCAGTGAGGCTTTGGGAGGGAAACTGAGCTGAAACAGAGATTGCTCCCTTCCCCTTGAGGCCTGTGGAGGATTTTCTGGGGTCCCGGTCACAGAGCGGGCCAGGCTCCAGACAGCTGCCGTGGCCAACCTCGTCATCGCCCCATGATGAAACTGGGCTCGTCCTCCTCCTCTGTTCCAGATGCCGCCTCAGAGCCACTAGATGACTGCTCCTGGGACTGACTGCATCCTGTAATCATACGACATTTGGATTAGAGAGGTACAAATCTTCGAGTATCCCCTGATTAGCAAATCAAGGGGTACTCCAAGGAAGGACTGCTGAGGAAAACCCAGGAACCAGCTGTTCCTGGACTGTACAGGGAGGAGCCAGAAAGGTCTTCATGTCCATCAGGCCCCATTGCCACTCCCGGGTATAAAGGGCCAGTCATAGAACTGACCTACCACTGCTGGAGGGTGGGCCTCATCCTTATGAAAAGGTCCAGCACACATGAGATCCTGATGCCCCGTAAATCAGGCCTCACTGCTTTTTATATGATCCCCCCTAAAGTCTGTCACCTTGGCAGGGCGACGTCCACAGCAGCCCTTTAACATTTAGCGCTAGGCTGACCAACTCCTGATGTCTCCAGCTCTCACCCCAGTCTGCAAAAGGAGTCTCAAAAACCTTGTAGCAGAGGGCTCTGCCTACAACAGATATGTCAGCTTCCCGGCTCTTCCCACAGACACAGAAAGCCTCTCTGACACTCCCCGTGCAGCTCTGAATCCCAGTGCCTTCCCTGGCGGTCTGCCAGTCTACCCTCAGTGCAGCTGAGCTGGCTAAGAGCTGAGCACAAAGACTACTTGTTCCCAACTCCTCCTCCCCTCTTCTCGGGAGCAGGGCAGCAGGCGAGAGCTGGGACGAGCCAGAGCCCACACCAGTCCTCCGGCTCCCCGTCCACGCCAGGAGGCCACTTGCAGGCACCGTGGGCCTCCTCCTGCAGACATGCAGAAACTCACTCCAGCACCCCAGGGCCCACAGGCACCCAGAGCTTTGCTACTGCTGTTGTCACAGGGCCGAAGAGCTTCAAGGCCTGGGGGTGCCCAGGGCACAGCAGTCACCTGCGTACCCTAGAATGGGGCACTAAAGAGCACTCATGGCAAGGGGTTGACATCGTCTCTATGATTTAATTATTTAGGACTTTCCTCCATCTTAACCTCATGCCAAAAAGAACGAGAAATTTTGAAAGTACAAATGAGGAGCACGTTTTAGTAGGTAAGATTTGTTTAACACCTATTATGTGCCAGGCACTGTGCTTATTGTCTTTGCATATACGTACCGTCTTAACTCTAAACAACAGTCTATGAGATAAGTAACACTCCTCTATATCCACTTTACAGATGAGGAATAAAGCTCAGAGAGGTTAAGTAATTTGTTAACCAAGGTCTCATAATCAGTAAAACCAGGACCGAGGATTCAAACCTGGACTGACTTTCAAGCCTCTGGTACCTTGCCCGCAGAAATGCATAAGGAAACGGAGGCAAAAGAAAAATGGCATGACAGCCATAGAAAAGAATGAAATAATGCCATCTACAGCAACATGGATGGACCTAGAGATTATCATACTAAGTGAAGTCAGACAGACAAATACTATATGATATTACTTATACGTGGAATCTAAAAAATATGATACAAATGAACTTATTTACAAAACAAACAGACTTCAAAAACAAACTTGTGGTTACCAAAAGGGAAGGGGGGGAGGGATAAATTAGGAGGCTGGGATTAACATATACACACTACTATATATAAAACAGATAACCAACAAGAACCTACTATATATAGCACAGGGAACTCTACTCAATCCTCTGTAATAACCAATACGGGAAAAGAATCTGAAAAAGAATATATGTATAACTGAATCACTTTGCTGTACACCTGAAAGTAACACAACGTTGTAAATCAACTATACTCCAATATAAAATAAAAAAGAAAAATGAGGTGAAAACAGGAACGAGGTGAGCCTACTGAGTGGGTAAGGAAAATGTGGTCTATTCATACAGTGCAATGATTCAGCCTTTAAAAGGAAAAAAATTCTGACACAGGCTACAACATGGATGAACCCTGAGAACATTATGCTGAGTGAAACAGGCCAGTCACAGAATGACAAATACTATATGATCTCTCTTATAGGAGGTACTGAGAGTACCCAAATTCAGAGACAAGGTAGAAGGGGTGGTTGCTGGTGCTGGGAGGAGCAGGAAATGGGGAGTTGTTGTTTAAAAGATATAGTTTTTGTTTTACAAGATGAAAAGTTATGGGAATAGATGATGATAATGGTTGCACAATTTGTATTTAGTGCCACTGAACTCTACACTTAAAAATGGTTAAGACGGTCAATTTTGTGTTATGTGTATTTTACCAAAATTTAAAAAAAAGGAGGGGAAGAAAGAAAAGAGAAAGAAAGGAAGAGAGAGAGGGAAGGGAGGGAGGAAATGCTATGCAGAGACTGAGTGAAAAACTATAGATGGATCAAAAACATAGCTCTGAGCTCCCTGAACTCCTAGGGCAGAACTCCCTAAGCGCTCTCATGTCATGGCACTCATGAAAAAGGACAGTATTTCTATGGCATGTGGGGCAACGGTCCAAGGCCATGGGCACTCAGTCTCCACCCTGAAGGCAAGGGGAGCAGGGTCTCTGCCATGTTGTAGTCCATTCCCCATATACCAGCGGGGGAGCTCTGCTCTAGAACCTGGGCTCCAAGGCTGAAACTGCTGAGTACTTGTTTTGTTCCATAACTTAGTCATACTCGGTCAGCCTGAAGCCTCTCTAAGAACCACCCGCCATATCCATAGAGATCTGAACACAGCAGGACAAGAGCATAGGCTTTGATCTTTCATTCTGATCTTAAAGAGACAGTAAAACAGGAGACATCTTTGAGCTCACCGAGTAGACATCAAGAGCAAGGCTCCCCCTCCTGAGTGGAAGAAATTTGTGGAGAAGTTATCACTAAAATTAAGTGGTGGCAGACACGTCCAAGGAATATTGTGGGGCTCTGATCCCTTTATGAATCTTGTGATAGATGAATGTGTGGAGATGGCAACTAGTGGGCAACAGAATACTGGAGTGGTGGTAATACGAGGAAACAGTATCATCATGTTAGAAGCCCTGGAACCAGTATGAACAATGGCTGTGTTCACCAGAGAAATCAACTGCTTCCACATGTCCCCTCCACATTTTACTATGATAAAAACTGGCTTGTGTACATTTTATTATTAAATAAACTTTTGTAATAGTGGAAAAAAAAACACCCCAGTAAAATACTCATTAACCTGGATGTTTATGGAATGGGGTGTTCCGGATGCCTGAAGTGCTGACTGACAGAGGAGGACTCAAAGCACTCCTTGTGACTGAAAAGCTCCTGAAAATGTAATACCTCAATTAACAGTAAACACAATTGTTTCCTGTGTGTCGGAGACAGGGTGTTGGGGCCTGGAAGTATCTCTCTCAAAGAGGAGAAACCTAGGAATCTGCTGCACATTCAAGTCATTTGGTAATTCAACAAAATCATTTCATTCTCCAATGAAAAGAAATAGGACTCAGAGAAAAAGCTGATTCTAGGTTAGGGACAGGAAATACACAAGACAAGTCTGGACTATCTTGTAGTACCAGAAACTAAGGAAGTGCTGTTAAAAACAAAACAAAACCCCTCAAAACTCCACCAATAATGGGAGTATGTAAAAGGGACACGGGCCAGAAAGAGCTTCCAATGGCCAAAGCTGCAAGAGTTTGGGCAAGAAAATGAAGTAGTACTGGATTAAACCTAAAATATAAAATAAATAGCCCAGAGTCCATACTGATATAAAGAAATGAGGGAGAAGACAAATCCATGCAGAACAATAGTTTATGTAGCTACTCCGCCCTCATGGAGGGGCTGTATAACCTGCCACTCCTTAAGTATGGGCTACGCATAGTGAATTCTTTCCAAAGAGTACAGCGTGGTAAGGGGAAGAAAAGAGTCACTTTACACAGAGAACCCTGAAGAGCACTGCCTGAGCAGGTGATCAAGGGCAACATCAACTGTGACAAGCCATCCTGACAAGCACCCAGCCCTGACATAAGAATGGTACTTTATCTCTGTGGTCTTCCTCCCAAAAATAAATAACTCATGAGAAAAACGTCAGACAAATCCCAACTGAGGGACATTCTACAGAACATCTGACCCTCAAAACTCTCAAGGTCATCAAAACAAAGTCTGAGAAACTGTCAGAGCTAACAGGAGCCTAAGGCTACATGATGACTAAATGTAATGTGATATCCTACATGGGATTCTGCAACAAGAAAAAGGCATTAATTAAAAATTAAGGAAATATAAATAAAGTATGGATTTTAGCTGCTACATGTATCAACATTGGTTCATTAGTTGTGACAAATGAACCACATTAACTTAAAATGTTAACAACAGAGGAAACTGGGTATATGGGAATTCTTTGTACTATACTATCTTCGTAATATTTCTGTAAATCTAAAATCATTCTATAACACAGTTTATTTAAAAAAAAGACACTGCCTACCCTCATGGAACTGAGACTGCAACTGAATAGATAAGCACGTTATGTGATTCAGCAGATTCTGTAACCAAATATGTGCAAAACCCTGTGGAGCAAGGTGGAGGCTGAGTGGGGAGGGAGGTTAGAAAAGGCTTTACAAAGAGAGGAGGGTGCAAGATGAGAAGTTTTCCAAGCAGATGGGGAGTCGGGTAGCATGAAAATGAAAAGAGCTCAGAGGCCTGAGCAGGAGGAGAGGCAGGAGAACAGAGATGTTAAGCTTGGGGAGAGTAGAGGACACGTGGAAGGGAGTGGCCAGAACAAAATGGTGGAGAGACCAGAAAGGGCAGGAATGCAGGAGCTACTGGCTAGGTTTCAAGAAGGATCACCTCGCAGGTAAGCACAAGGCCCGTGGAGACACATTATCTGGGATCAAATCCCGGCCTGTCACTCACTCCCGCTAGCTCTACGGGTGCCATTACCACTTGGTCCCTAAGGTCAACTGTAAAATGGGGATAATGTCACTGCCTATCTCACAGGGCCGCTGTGAGGATTATGTTAGTTAATACGTGCAAAGCACCTTAGAACTGGGGCTACACAATAAATGTTCAATAAATGCTAAGTATTGTTATTGTACAAGCAGAAGAACGAATGACAATCCAACCTCTGTTTTAAAAAGAGCTTTGGAGGCTGTTCAAGGTGGGTGGCGTCGGAGGTGGGGTGGGAGGAGAGTGGAGGCTGCTACCATAGTCCTGACACATCTGGAGATATAGATATATACTGACTGATTGGCTGTGCCGGGTCTTAGTTGCAACATGCGGACTTCTTAGCTGTGGCATGCATGTGGGATCTAGTTCCCCGACCAGGGATCGAACCTGGGTCCCCGCATTGGGAGCACGGAGTCTTACCCACTGGACCACTAGGGAAGTCCCGTGGATCTATATTTTTGTAAGGTTTTTTACTAAATCCTCAATGAGACCTTGACTTCCTCTGAAATCATTCTTATCCATGTGGAGGAATACAGCAAGGATATGGTAAAAGTGTAGACCACTGCACACTGTTGATGGCAGTAAAAACTGCCACTACTCCTTTGGCAAGAAACTGGCAATACATTTCAAGGGCCATGAACTCTTTTTACACTCTGTGATCTAATTATTCCCACTGCTGGAAATTTATCTCAAAGGAAATGACCCAGAAAGGGGGAAGGGAGACAGGTGCATAAATTCACTAAAATATCTTCTAAAGAGAAAAACTGGAATCAATCTAATGTCTAACAAAAGGGAAAATGTTAGGTGTATCATGGCATGTCAATTGCTGGATATTATCAGTCACTGAAAAAATTATGAAGGACCAGAAATGCTTATAATGTTAAATAAAAACAAGCAAAGGGGAAACTGTTCATACACCACAATTGTCATTACATACAAATCACATGTGCATATGGAGAGATTAAAAGAAAATGGACAGAAAGAAAGGTGATCTATGAGGATGATAATATTTGAGCTTTTTCCATTACTCTTATGCTATTGTTTACATAAAATTGTAAAATCTAAGAATCTGAGATTTTATTTAGACTATAGGAATACTAGGTAAAATGCCACTGAGTGTAATTGAAACTGATGTTAACTTTAAAAAAAAAAAAACCAGATGAATGGGGACTTCCCTGGTGGTCCAGTGGTATGGGGACTTCCCTGGTGGTCCAGTGGTAAAGAAGCTGCCCTCCAATGCAGGGGATGTGGGTTCGATCCCTGGTCAGGAAACTAGGTTCCTATATGCCGTGGGGCAGTTAAGCCTGCACATCGCAACTACTGAGTTCACGCACCTCAACTAGAGAGCCTGCGTGCCACAAACTACAGAGCCCATATGCTCTCGTGCCCACGCGCCACAACTGCAGAGCCCATGCATCCTGGAGCCTGTGCACTACAACTACAGAAGAGAAGACCTACACGCCACAACTAGAGAAGGCTTCGCGCCACAAGAGCCCACACCACAATGAAAGATCCCGCATGCCGCAAATGAGACTTAACTCAGACAAAAAAATAAAAAACAAACAAGGCAAAAACAAACAAACA